ACATCCTGAAACGGCTCGGTGTCACAATTGACCTGAAAAACGATGTGGTGATCGTGGCTAACGAGACGATTGAGATAAACAAGGGGAGAACCGACCGGGTTGGTGCCCTCAAAGCCGTGCCTGATTGTCAGAACCGTGCAATACGCAACGTACTGAGCAGGTATGTCCACTTATTCACAGACGCGGAAAATGATTACGGATTTTGCAATTGGGTTGAACACCGAATACCGTTGATCCCAGGAGGACAATGCAAGCCAATCTTCAGACGAATTCCACAGAACACCTTGGTTGAGGTACAGAAGCAGGTGACCGAGATGGAATCGAAAGGAATCATCAGGCGAACGCACAGCCCGTATTCATCACCCGTGCTATTGACGAAGAAGGCCGACGGAACCTATCGATTTTGCATCGATTTCAGAGAACTAAACAGGGTGACGGCCAAGGATGCATTCCCGATGCCTCAGATGGAAGAAATTTTCTCGAACCTTCACAGTGCGAAGCAGATATCTCTGATTGATCTCCGCTCGGGATATTGGCAACTGCCGATCGCAGAAGAAGATCGCCACAAGACAGCGTTCAGTGTCAATGGCCAGTAGTATGAGTTTTTGAGAATGCCGTTTGGATTGTGCAACGCCCCAGCTACATTCCAGGCGTTTGTTGCTGATGGTCCTCGCGAACTTGCAAGGCGTAGTTGTTTAAGGTGATGACATCATCGTCTTCTCTGAGACGAACAGGAACATGTGACCAGACTTGGAGCAGTACTGCAGAGACAGGACGAAGCTGGTCTGAAACTCAGTCGTAAAAAGTCGCAGATTGCCAAAAGTCTAGTGTATGCTTGGGTCACATCGTGGGCAATGGTCCAAGTCCATCCACTTCCGGAGAAACGCGAGACGATCAAGTGCTTCGCAAAACCAAAATCCAAGCGGCAGCTCCGTTCGTTCTTGGGAGTGGGGGCATATGATTCAAAGTTTGTGCCCCAGTTCGCAGAGAACGTCAGCCCGTTGTTAAAGCTGCTTCGCAAGGACGTGCCGTTCGAGTGGACAGCTGAAGCGGATCAGAACCTTGACCATCTAAAGGCATGCATAGCAGAAGCCCCGACATGTCTACGGCTACCCAATCCTGGTGAGAGGTTCACTGTGGCTGTCGACGCAAACAACGTGGCAATCGGTGCGGTTTTGTCGCAACCGGCTGGGGTGGTGGAGTACGCGAGCAGAGTGCTGGCGGGGGCGGAACAGAAGTATTCAACAACGGAGAAAGAATGCTTGGCCAATCGTGTGGGCGTTAGAGAAGTGGAGAAATTACTTACTGGCGAATGAATTCCGGGTTGTCACTGACCACAAACCGCTCTCGTGGTTGATGACGGCGAAAGACCCGCGGGGACGGCTTGCGCGTTGGGCCTACCGATTGCAGGAATTCAACTTCACCATTGAGCACGTGGATGGAATGCAGAATGTATTGCCAGATAATGTTTTCACGCCAGTGTTTGGACGTAATCATGCCAGACAATGCCATACCGGTGCGTGCGATCGCGATGGGGGAGAGGAACCTGCTGGGAGATCAAAGGACAGATGAATTCGTGAATGTGATGTGCACTCACTTACGGGCTGGCACCAAACCGGAGGCTACATCGGAGGAGGTGGAGGAACTCCTCAAGATCCGGGACAGGTGGAAGGTCGAAAACGATAACGTGGTGGTGGCTATAGACGGACGGAAAGTGCCTTTTTTCCACCAAATCAGCGAGAACGTGTGATGCGCATAACTCATGATGGCGCCCATATGGGATTCGAGCGGGTCTTTGAATCGCTGCGGAGGCGAGTGTTTTGGCCAACCATGCGGAAGGAATGTCGCGGCATACATTAGGGGGTGCCCAAACTGCCAAACGAGTCGGGAGATGGAGTCCCCGAGACCGCCGACGCGATCGATGGAGGTTGGTGAGCCACTTCAGTGTTGGGGACAGGACGTCTTTGGGCCCTTACCAGTGAGACGAACAGGAAACAGATACATTCTAGTGATTGATTGACCACTTCACTCGGTGGGTGGAAGCCAAACCAATCAAGGGACCCAAACAGGCGAGACAGTGTCGCAAGTATTCGAATTCAATGTGCCTGCAAGGTATGGGATCCCACAGTGTATAATCACGGACCAAGGGCCCTGCTTCGAGTCAAGACCGTTTAAGGCAGTGTTGGACAAGTGGGGCATCCAGAGACAGCGAACTTCACCGTACCACCCACAAACCAACGGCATGACCGAGCGGTTCAACCGTACATTGAAGACGTGGATAAACTGCACGAACTTGGCATGGGAAGATGCTTTGCCTCAGGTTCTTGATCGCGTATCGGACCAGCATGCAATCAACCACCAAGGTCTCGCCATTCGAATTACTGTTCGGCAGAGAACCACGGATTGCGCTCGATACTTGCCTACCGAACCAGCTTGAGTGGAAACATCCAGCTGAGCATCAAGAGCGACTGCGATGGAAAGCTAGAGGCGAAACCAAAGCTCGACAAGCGCGGAATAAGCGAAATTACCACGCCAGGCATGAGGCTTACAAGTGGAGGCCATTCAGGATTGGAGAACAAGTCAAGTTACGGAACAACGATCGGCCGGATCATGACGGGCCGGGCGCAAGCAAGTTCAGAGAACGCTGGAAAGGCCCCTACACCCTTATCGACCAGAAAGCGGGCAACTTCTAACTCGACTGCGGAGGAATGAAACGTTGGGTGAATGCTGCTCTCCTGCGACCATGGTACGAGAGGAAGAAAGGTCCTCGAGGAGGGGCGGGTGTAGAGGGGCCGCTTCCAAGAATGGCTCGGGGGAGCTCTTCGGAGCGAGCTGAGAGCGGATCGAGAGGGACGGCTAGCGACGAGCCTGGTCCCCGAACAACGGAGCGGGAATATGTGGACAGCGCAATAAATCAGACAAATACGCCGCAAGCGCAGCCCACAGGACCGAGGCCGAGCCGATTGACACAGCCACTAGAACGAGAGCAAGATGCGAGAGCTCTATCGAACGAACTACTCAGAGGCCGAAACCAAATCGGGGCATAGAGAAAGCGGAGATCGAGGCGAAAACAAGGAAAGGTCGGATCATCCAATCAGAGCACCCAGGCGAAAGGACTGTCTCGGCTTCTCACTCCTGAACCCTGTGTTTGCGTTCTAGAGTGGACGCGTGAAAACCATAGGATCGTATAATCGACCCCCCCCCGGCACTCCCAGCTCCTGTGTCGCGAGACCCTCATTGCCCATTTCGGTGTGCAATAAACGTCTACCCCCCTGTCTTGTCGTTCTCGCTACAATATAACGTAAAATCCTCAAAATTGCTGTTGCTGCATGCTCTCAGTAGTATGGTGCACGAATCAGTGATTAGTTGGGACTTCTCCAGGTCAAGTCGGCATTTTAACCTTCTCAACAAATCTATTCCGATAATAACATCGAACGGTATCCGATCAGCAACGATAAATTCATGGTTAAACCTTGTGCAGGCTACAACAACGGGGGCAACGATGGAATTCCGAACAACTAGTGGTAGCCCGTTGGCCGCGGTAAGGCGAGCGTTACGAGGTTTTCTAACACAGTTTGAGAAGCTCCTACTCACGCTGGCCCTGATTAGGCTTCTAGCTGCGCCAGTATCCACTAGCCCCAGTAAGCAAATCCCAGCTATCGATAATTCTAGTGTTAGCGACGTCACAATCGAGTTGCAAGTAAGAGATGGTATCACAAATGATGTCATGGTATGCTCACCTGGCGTGTTCCTGTAGCGAGACGATCCGCGGTATGACGTTTGTCTGCGGGGCCAACGAAAACCTGATTGTGCCGGTCGTCGTGGGGCGGGATATCTCTGAAAACGGCCAGGGTTTCCCGTCATTCTTTCAGGTAGGACGCGTCTATGTCGTGTGTTTCCTCTTACCGCAAAACAGCCAGATGTAGGCGTACCCATCGCTGCATCTATTTCTTCCAAATGGTCACTTGTTTCCAATGCTTCGTCCAAACGGCGGGGAGGGTATCGCAGGAACTCCCTTTTAATAGACGGCGTTTGAATGCCCTCTAGGAGTTGTCCTAAGACCAGTTTTTCACGTTCGTCTGGCGTTTCGTTCTCGTATGCGATATCGGCCATCCTCTGCAGCTCGCGAACGTATGTGCGTATGGTTTCCCCCGGATATTGGTAACGTGCATGGAATGCCCTGCGTAGGGGCGCAGGTAGACCGGGGCGGGCTAATAATCGGCGCATGGCGGAAAAAGTCTCGGTTGTAACTTCTTTCTCCAAAAGTTTACTGTCTGCAACGATATCAAAGGCCTCTCCCGAGAGCAGGCCGGCGAGCACAGCTGCCTGTTGGTTGGATGGGAAATGACGCAGATAAAACTGGACTTGCTTTTCCCATCTGGGGTACAGCATCCCCAGGGTAAAACGTTCTGGCGGCGGGATAGATGGCATGCTGGTTGAAGAAGTTGATGAAGTCGACATTTTCTGCAAAGTCCGTGATAACATATCGAGCGAAGCGGCGAGCTTTGCCGTCGGGTCATTAGCGTCAAAATTAGCTTCGTCATCGGCTTTGTCGGTTGTCTTCGGCATTATCTTCATTAGACCAGTGATACAGGATTCCTGATGAACGTGCCTCGGCAGGGTCGCCAATATTGTAATATACAAGCTTGGGAGAACTCCGGAGATTGGAACTGGAGATTTATTAAGCAACACGTAGCAAACTACAATAGAGGAAATAATGTTATAAAAAAGGAAGATAAACGTTACAGTCAATCTTCTTCTGCTTGCACTTGACTTCGCGTAGGTTCCCTTTGGGGTATCCACAATTCGACAGAGAGCGGATGATGGGGGAACGATTCTTGATTATCAATACTTTTCCAACGGCTAACAGAGCGTCGAGGTCTTGCTTTTTGCATTGTTCGGTATCAAGAGACACTTTGCACTATCATTCCGATTAATATAATTGCGACCAATAAGGCGGGAGTAACAATGGCAATCGGAACTTCCGGTCGAACTTCTTCCTGCCAACATTCAGTTAAGTGAACTGCGGCCCCAGTTCATGTTGCTCTGCTACAAACGAATCGGGGATCAAGAGCCAGAGCTTTCCGATGCAACTAGCTTCGTTGGTCACGTATTACGAACGTCGCACAAGATAACGACACCCAAATTGGAGGTCATTCGAGAAGCAAGGATGAAGGAAGCGGCTGCTCAATTCCGGTGTAGCTATGAGGGACACGTGAGCAACTTAGAAGTAGTTTTGCTTCTCCGGCCAGGGATTGCTTCATATGATGGAACGTTGCAGATGGTCGCAAGTACAAATGTTCATGTGTCCAGCTCGCTGACCCATTCGGTCGGCCTATTAAATTGGTTAGAGTTGTCCCCACCACTTGAGAAATCATAGCTATATTGTCTCGTGCGACCACGTGCACACTGGGGATCAATAAATCGCCGCCTCACCGGCTTCCCCGTCTCCTCCGGGCTTGTGCAACTGAGCCAGCCCATCGACTATTCTGCACCACATTCACGTTGCCCTCAAGCACCATTGTTAAAAACTGCTCCTAAACTGGACGGAAGTTCTATCGGGGTGAGTAAGAGCACAGTGCAAATTACGTGCCAGGTCGATGCCAGTGTTAGGGGATTGCCTATGAAATTGTATGCGAACACACCTCAGGTTCTACTTGGTTTGTGTAACTCAGACATACCAGAAGTGAGCGATACCATGCTGAAGCTTCCATGTCAATTCACGCTAGAGGAGGATTCGGATTGTTCACTACTGATGAACCAGATCGAAATGACTAAAACGAACTACACTGTGGACTGTTTTGCTTCACGCAGTAAGAGGTCAAACAACGTGTACCGGGAGATAGTTTTGAACATAACGCATTTGCGCTCAGATGTTTTCGATGGCTATGTGTTTTGTGAAACAATAGTCCAGAGCCAAAGATACAAAGATTACGAAACCGGAGAGAATGCGTACAAGCGACTGACAAGCGAAGTGGCGCACCTACGTTTACCATTGGCTCCCGTGATTGAAACGCTTCTATTTGACCCACACGAGGAAGTGTGGAAATGCATCGGCTCGGCTCACCCGGAAGTCAAGTCCTACCTTGGAATAATACAAGTAGACTCTGAGTTGGAGAATCAGGTAGTGGACACATACTGGCACAAAGTCATCCCTGTAGTTCCTGCTTGGCGGCGCCTGGAGCAACTGCCAGCAACTTACCAGTTCGACATGGATGATGTAATCTATCAGTGGGAACTTATCCTGGTGCCCAGACCACCGATATGGGAGTTAGCTCCCGAAACCCGCCTCACTGTCCAGTGCAGTTTTGGCAATGAGTCGGCGAACTTGACCACCTTAATCCCGGAAAACGTGTACTCCACTCATTACAGGAATGCCGGTGGCAAATTGGAGTTTAATTGCTTCTTTCGCGATTCAACCTTGGACCCGATCAGACAGATCTCCATAAACCGCCTCATACAGCCAGGTTGGCTGGAGTACGATCTGACGCTGGGAACTGTCATTGTCGCGGGATGGATGGAAGGCAACTGGAGAAAATTAGACGAGAGCGAGTTGGAGATACGTGAACTTCAATTGACCAACGCACATTTGTGGAGGTTGCATACCGACAGGGATGATAGGAATTTGCGTATGACTATAGATACACTTCATAGCACGGAATTCGACAGTGGAGAATACTACTGCACGGCGGTGACAGCTAAGAATGTATATTATAACCTCGCCCCTATTCCAGCAGCAGTTCGTGGAACTCAACGAGGCATGTTGTTTGCCCAAAGAGCCCCAGAACTATCAACTAGATGGTCAATAAAAGTACCATCAGCGGTCGTATCGAAAATTCTACAAACCAGATGCCTGATATGGACAACTAACATCGGTTACAACCCATCCTTGGAGTTTAATAGAGTTCCAGCTGAGCATGAACGACTTTTAAAGCGTAACGTGGTCTTTCGTAATCAAAGTAGAATGTCAATTGTTAAACTAATGGAAGACTGGTTCCAGGTACTGCGCAGTGACTCTTCAACTGAGGGAGATCGAATTGGCTGCACTGTGAGAGATGAGTCCGGAAGAGAGTCAACAAAATGGCTCATCATGCCAAGCATGGAATGTACAGCCCCAGAGTCGGTGTACTGGGAACCGTTCACATACTCCGATTACCGACGGTCAGCCAAGTTGCAATGTCGTGCAAAGGGCGGTTGTGTCTCACCAACACTCACCTGGGCTTGGATTGCTGGACCGATTCGGCCTTCGATTGCAATGAAAGGATGGAATACGTCGAAAGTATCTGAAGGTGATATGCTACACATGTCACGCCTTCCTGGGCCAGGAGCATATGCCTTTGAGTGTGTGGCTTCATGTGAATGTTCCGGTTATCCATTTAGTACACGTATCATAGTCACTTTCTTTGTTGGTGAATCACTGGTGAATTACACTTTGTGGAAAGATGAATGGCAAAATGCGACGTCCGATGAACTCTTCGGAGGCACATATAAAAATGTCGAGAAAGATACGCAATCGGATGTGGACAAAAGTTTTACGGACATTCCGAATGAACTCAGATGGAAACAACTACATCGCAGTCAGGCGCTTGACTCCTGGGAGTGCCACACAGGTGGATTAAATGAAGTCTATGAGTGTGGAAGTGAAGAGGCAGATATGTTGGGTAAGGATGGCGAGGCGATGGATCGGAGTGTAGGACCAGACATCAGCAAGGATAGACAACACTTCGAGGGTGGCTACTCAATCGACGCCGTCGGAAGCACTAGAAATGCGGAGGCGCAACTCAAGAACAACCCACAAGTGATCCGATGGAATGTATTGCGCAGGGGACCGGACGCGCGAACCACTTTTCTCCAAGGTAGTCTTCAACTGCGAACTGCTGATGAACTTGCTCCATCGATTAAAAAGCTGCGGCATACAGAAAGAACTTCATACACATTTGGAGAAATAGCAGGAAAGCACTCCACCCGGCTTGAGAAAGCTAATGAATATGAAAATCGCGTTGTCAGAGAGTATCGCATAGAGGATTACTTGAAGCAGGTAGTTACGAGAGAGCATTCGATACCACATGTGCCTTCAAATGTAGATCCGTTGCCCACATTCTTAGAAGCCTGGGAGGAGTGGGATCCATGGGCAAGAGTAGCTGAAAACGAATTTGACTCCACGAAAGAGTTTCACGTAGAAGTGCAGAGGAGTGTACTTGAGGCTGAGTTTGCGCAGCAGCGGAAGGAAGTGGAACCTGTGCATGTTGACAAACCTCTCCACCAAAGGGTATACAAGAGACGAACGCCCTCATCTGCTCAAAACCGAATTCGGTCGAGTGTTGGACACTACTTGCCTACAAATCATCCAGTCCCACCGCGTCGATCAACATCAATTCAATGGTCATGGGACCCTAAGATGGAAACAGATGAAGTGCGGCAACATTATGGTTACTCACAAGTGATTCTGCGACATCAAAAATCACTCAGCGAGTTTAGTGAGCACAATGTCGAAGGCCAACAACAACGTCAGATGTCAAGGAAACTTCATACCAAAAACTCTGCCATGACCGGTGATGAGCAACTTAACTGGCGTCCTGCATTTTGGCTAGATGACACCACATTCGAACCAGGTCACCAAATGCGATCAGAGCAAAAGGAAATTTGCTCCGGGAGCTGCAACGCTAAACAGGAACAACATCAAGCAGCGCGCCACGACAGTTTCCGTGCCACACTACACTCACGCAGTTAGCAGGCCTCAAGGTCACCGGTCCATCGTGACTCGTTTGAATCAGTTATTGATTGCTGTACATAATAAGTTCCCAGTTTAACTGTTTCCCCTATCATCTGACGTCCTTGTCCTTGTACATAGCTAGCAATAGCTTTTTGCAAGTTTTAGTTATCTGCTTCATAATTATAGCGTTTGATGATATTTATGGAAAAGAAATTTCTTCGCAATTGTTCTCCTCATGTCTGAATGGGCATAATTTATGAGTATAAGAATCTCTATAGTACTGTTTCTCAAAGGGTGGTTCGCGGATGCCCAGGAGGTACGTGGGCTACTTTCAGGGAATCCGCGTGATCTCCCAAAGTGTTACAATTCTATTAGGAACTTTTATGGACGTGATCAGTCTATTTCACAAATTTATGACAAACATGTTGTGAAAATTTTTAAATCAAATCTAACGGTTTACATTATAGCCTTGTGCATTGCCCATGGAAACATGGCTTATCATAGTTGCATATGCATGAAAGTTCAACAGCCTTCACTTTTGCCAACACAAATGAACAACTGTGCGACTTCAGTGTACAGCGATGAACTCCACCTCATTCTTATGTTATTAAAGCCTAGTTCTGTGAATAATGAAAGCTCAGAGGTCCGTCGTGCTACGTTACACTACAAAGGGGTGCACGTGCCGAAAAGTTTGAGAACACCTGCTCTATAGTGACACACGGCATCCTGTTGGTTGACGGTGTCTGACCAATGAGGAAGCTACTCGTCGGTGCGTGTGTGCACCTTAGCCAAACTTTGAAACGCACCAACTTGAAACTGCTTATGAACCAAGTTGAAAATGCTTACGAACCAAGTTGAAAATGCTTGCGAACCAATTTGCTTCCTCTATTAACTAACTTGACTCGGAAATGGTATAGATCACGGCGAGTTGATAATCCGCCTGTTCTTAATGACATTGCTGTGGCTCGCAAACTATAGTAGCCGTGAGTGTGGTGCTCGAGGCTCGATTAGTGTGCGTGATTCTCTACGGCTGTCTGAGCTTGAGCGAAAGCGGACAGATGGTATGATAGAAATGGCCAATTTGCGGTTAGAAATGTAAGAGGATGAAAACTGCCATGAACATTTCACTCTCACAAGACATGTGCACGACATCCGAAAGAAACTAATGGGTCAGTTTCCATGCACTATCATTTGTGCAACACGAGTTTCTCCACATTTCGTATCCCCAACTGTTACTAGGTGTTGGTCAACCGTCAGTAGATCTGCGAGTTTCGATTTGTACTATTTCGTTTGTTATGCGGCAAATTGCGGGAGATTCATCAAGAAATTTGAATAGCTTGTTTAGAGCCGCATGATTGATGGTGGGAAGAAGCGACTGTGGTTTTTGTATTAATGCAGATTACATGCTAATGATGTTCGTTGTGATTGTGCAATAAATAATTCCACTCAAGCATGCTTGCAAGATTAATCGATGCATTGTTCGCGACCAAATCGGTCAAAGTTAGGTAGTTCCTTGCTCCTTGCTTGATGATTCGCTTACTGGTTTAAGGAGCCTACTAGACGACTTTGAGGCGTCGACGGGATTGTCGCTGATGATGGAAAACTATTATGTTGCTTTATCTCAGATGAGATTTGCGGCCGAGTTGGACTTCTTCGCTGCCACGCAACGGGTGATACGCATTTTGCTCAACGATTTGCTTTCACGGTGTACAGGAGTGGCAGGTGATATGGTTCAAGACGTACTGGAAATTGGATTTCGGTATTTGGCAGCGTTTTTATTATTAATACGAGAGTAGCTCGCGAAACGTTTTGGCGAATTGCGACCGCAACTGTGTCACGAAACCAGGCCACTGTTAGCTGATAACAGAAACGAATGGAAGCTGTCCCAAATCCCCATGTGATAGCATACCGCTGGGTCGTCTTATGCATGTCGAGACAGCCAACACGATGTAGCATCACTCACGAAATACTCATTTATGAATGCACCTGGCCGTTGAAGATATAACTGAGCATGTGGTGGACACTATGATGGTATGCGTTCTGGTCACCGAAATGTAATCTTGGAAACTTTAAGGAACGCCGCATATTCACGTGCAAGTAGCGGTAGCATTCGTTGCTACTTCGAGACAGAGCCTCTGCTGCACACCGGATTGACTAGAGCAGCTGCAATGCGGCCGCTATCTATCACAGTCAGGTCTCTTTTGTAGTTGTGCCAGAGCGTCTGGATATCCCGTTACGGTCAATGGAACCGTATGCAATGCTGTGTAGTTCATCGGAATGCAGATACCCATATGTTCCTCAAAACGTCCGACCGGACACCTATTTCTGTCCTGCAAGTTAGCCTGGATTATTGTGGATGAAAACATACGCGGCTCGTTGAGGAGCACTTCGATATAGCTTTCCATGTTTTGTAGATTCTCTGCTGCAATCCGCACATCTGTGCGCCCGGAAATCCGACACAGCTGCACATCATACATGATGCCTCGGAGGTCGGATATGGTGCAGTTGTTATTGCGAAGATCCGCACCACAGGCATCGCATACTGCGCTCCGTTATCTGCGAATTCATAGTAGCGCATTTGAAGGCGGTGCATATCTCGCAGTTGGAACTGTCTTCGGCTTTGCTTGCAACGAAGTTCTATGATGATATGGTTTACACTTTGTCGCCACACGACTGACGGTCATCCAAGAAATATCCAAACTCTGTCAGTTGAAGCACGGTGAATCTGGGTTCACATGTGCAAACCAGCGGTCTAGCTATTATTTATTGCTGACCACCTTGAATAAATGGTATTTTGGTTAGGTGTGCTGATTGTTGATGAATACTGTATGTGGGCGCAATTGGCAAATTAATTCTGTGCAACTCCATGGAGACCTAAAGATAAAATTACAAAATCTTTGCTACCCATAATAATCTTTCCAAGCTTCTAGTTCTTTTGCCGCATTCTAAATGTATGAATTTTTCACTGGGTTCACAGCGGTCCGTCGTCATTTCTAGTGTGCAATCGTTCTCCAAATCTAATGTAAATACAAACCGATCAGCATTTTGAACTGTTGAGCAGATTCCGCCTCCACAACTAGTTCTGGCCGACTGTTTCAAACATTTCACACTCTCCATTCGAAACATGGAGAGTGGGATAATTGCTTGATATCCGATACCACAAGCTTGTACCGATGTCCGCGTGTGTTGCATGACGTTCGTAAGTAAATGCGTAACCAAAACGATTGGATTTCATTGATATGCATTGCACCACATATCATGATGAAATCGACCTGCTCCCGAAGATAGGACAAGGTGAATCGTTCCAGTTTCTCGCACCGGTAATCTGTCAATAATCCTCGTAAACTTGGAATAAGCCTGGTGGCGATTGTTGCACCGGATGGATCTACCGTGCCTCGACTAGCGTGATTTGGCATTAAGCAAGGGAAGGCACGCTCAGTGCTGGAGGTTGAAGACTGTCCGAGCCTTCTAGTACTGGCAGATCACCTGTCGGATGAGGCGGCCTTTCACGTAAGAAACAATTCTCTCCATTTCAGCTTTTACCGCGGTTGCGAGGAGCACTTCGGGGTGCGTGTTGTTGATCGTATTTGCTCTATTGCAATTACTTCCCTGTTTCGTATGTGCATTACAGGGTTTGGAGGAGACGAAGAGGAGCAATTTGCTTCATAATCTAAGCCGCCGTCGAGCTAGTTTACCATACTCCTTGTCGAACCAATGCGGCTTCACTGGTCCAACATTCCAACACCACAGTGCCACGTACTGAGGACACATTAATGCCACTCACTCTCTAATAACAGTCCAAGATTCTTCGGCAGATGCAGCTTGTGACAGGGACCAATCCACTTGGCTCGCAGCTCGAGATAGCGCGTCGAAGTTAGTATTTCAGTATTTGTAACCTGGCTCCAGATGACTGGAATACGGGAATGTTAGAGTCATATTGGTTAAGAGCGTTGCGTGATCGCTTACTGCTAGCGGATCTAGAACATGAACGGCATACAAATGCTGTCTCACTATTAACTCGTCCTCACCCTGGTCCAACAGGCTAGAAATTAGGCCCTGTAATGCATCAGCATCATAATGGTGGTTAATCTGGGGAGTTGGATCACTGGACTATGGCGGGTGAATTATCACGAGGAAAAAACGCACCTGTTAGGCTAAGGTTGACGTTGTAGGGGAATAATGTTCTCCCGCTTCACATGATCTCGCCTGCCTTTGTTTCGCAGTGGCTAAACTCTATTTATTATTACATTTTCACTTTCCTTGTATTTTCCAAGTGTCTTCCGTTCCCAGACTTTCAAACGCAGGAAGCAGCTGTGGTCGTATGTAAATATTCGCGTCAGTTGTAACTGGCCTGTTCGTATTGGCAGCCAGTGAGTTCGCACAGGACGATCAGGAAAGCTTATCTGATACCAAGAGACAAATCCGGCAAGCCTGTTCGGCTTCAAACGCATTGGTTGACAAACAAGGTTGCATCTGGTCTGCACCTCGTTTCGGCTACTCTTACGCAAATTGTGAGCGATATCATATTGGATTTCACGGAAACGCCGGAAATGCTCACTCGGTGGTCCAATGCATGCATGAAATGACCGGTGAAATTGATTTAGCACGGTTCAAGTAGCATTTGCTTGGTTGGAGGGAAAATTTGAAACTGAACGGATCAACGAAGTACCGACTAATCACGTTAAGCGTCCAGCAATTTAACTTCACCGCTGCATAGCGATCGCTTTTCTTGGAAATTGAATTGGCATATACCAAGTTATATGCAGAGTAATTATAATACACATGCTCCGCGAGAGATAATGGAAAATGGCAATGAGTACGCTCAATTGTGTATCGCCTCATTCGATCGATGTAATTCATTAATACATTTTACTGACATCCAAGCTATTCACATGGGCACTGATGCATGCATCCTCACCGCCACGTTGCAGAGAAGGCCGCTGAGCACATAGTTTGGTTCGCGTTATTTCCTCTTCCGAGTGAAGCAGACAATATCACGTAATGCAAGTGGGCGGTTCTTGAAGAGCGTTAATGTAGGAGACAGGATTAGGTGTGTTGG